AGCCCCCCCCGTTGCCCCGGCCCCCCACCCCCCAGCCGGGCGCTTCCCCTCCCGGGCTCCAGCTGCGCTGGGGAAGTGCCGGCCGAGGGCGCAGGGTCTGGGGGCTGCCCGGCAAACCATGAAGCCGGTAGCGCTCGGGCAGCCCTTTCCCCGTGGCTGGGAGTGGGAGGGAGGAGGGGGCGGAGTTGGGGCGGGGTGGGGGCGGGGAAGGGGCGGAGTTGGGGCGGGACTGGGGGTGGGAAATGGGCGGGGCCAGGGCCCCGTGGTGGCTCCTCTTTTTTTATTTGTTAAATATGGTAACCCAACAAGAATGATACACACATACAACTATGATAAGCACACTCAGTACACTATAAGCTCTGTAATGATACCTTACAAGAGACCTTTTGTATGAAGCATATTCTAGTGACATTATATTCACACTCATTAGCATATTTTCATAAAATTATTTAGAGTGCAACGTCACAAACGAGTTGATATTTGTTCAGCTCTCTAAAACCATTTTGATTTAAGAAACCTCCTCTCCCCGCACTCTCGTCATGTTTGGTCCCTTCACAACTTGAAGGTGATATTGAGTGTTTAACGGAAAACCCAGCTCTTGCTGACTGTGAATTACAGAGGAATTATTTGGTTAAAAATTAAGATTTTCGACCTCACGTTTGTGGAGAAAAGCTTGGAAGCCCGAGCGGGCCGGGATGTGGATTTTTGTTGCCAAGAAAAAGTCAGTGGAAAAATTTGGGGTTTTGTTGAAATTTTTCCTCAGGAATTTTGGGGCGTTTTCATTGAAACCCTGAAAACTAGAAAACTGAAAATATTTTTTCTTGTGACTGAAATTTGGGGGATTTTGGCTGCCCAAAACCGTTCAACGGTTGGGGACGTGTGTTCAGTTAAACCTCAGAAGCCATTTTTTGTTCGAAAACAACATTTCAGACCAAACATTTGACCCGCTCTATTGCAAACCCGACCTGGGTGCTGCCCGAGGGCTCGGAAGCCAGAAGGCCAATGAGCAGAACAGCCCGGGTATTAGTTACAATCGCCTGATTTCTAAGCCGAGCTCATGGCTTTTGGGGGCCTGAATCATGAGGGTTTGGGGCTGATGATACAGAACTCACTCGCCCCCCCACCAGTGTTCAAACGTCTCCCCAGCCTTTCTGTTTCGGTGTCAGTCATGTCGATGCTGGGGAGAGAGCATCACGGAGATCCTTTTGTCACCCTCCCCCAATTTGCCCCACTGCCATATAGGGGGATGGCAGAAGATCAAGCTCTGGAGTTTGACGAGCCTTGGGACTTTCTGCTGCTAAGCAAAGGGCCAGTTGGGAGGGTGGTTTTATTGGTGTGGATGGCTGGTCCTGCTAGGAACTGGGCTGAGACCCACCAACTCGTCTCACACGTGAGCCACTGACTGACCTAATGGCTGACAGGTGAAAGGCTCCATTTCCTGGTCCCTGAAGCATGTCAGTCCGTGTCCCCTTTCATCTCTTCCTGCCCCCAAGCTCCGATCCCATTTGGTACTAACCCCTAGGGTTACAGAGGCCCCAGGGCAGGGGGAGACCGGGCAGTGGCTGGGATCTCCGTTCCTGACTCTGTTTCCCTTTCAGGGCTTATCACAGCTGAATCGCCCGTCACTGCTCAGTTCGGGAGGGATGTCACCCTGAGCTGCCTCTTCCCGTCCTGGCCCGGGATGAACCTCCAGCACCTGACCGTCACCTGGCAGAAGGAACAGGTGGGGGCAGAGAACTTGGTGGTTCATAGTCACTATTACGGGAAGGAGCAGCTGGAGAGACAGGACGAGGCTTATAGGAACCGGACCCAGCTGGATCCAGAGGGGCTGGCCCGGGGGAACGCATCCCTGACGCTTATGGGTGTCCGCACCCAGGATGAGGGCATCTATCGCTGCCACGTCACCTCGGAGCTGGGCACAACTTCGGAGACGAGGCAGGTTACAGTTTTGGGTACGGCTCATTCAACCTGAAGTTTCTCCTAAGGCTCCGTTGCCCTTCGATATCCGATGGGCTGAGGGAGGCTGGGCTGGAAGCTGGTTTATTTGCAGATAATCTCCCACCTCACGCCAGCGGGCAGCAGGACGGGAGAGGTCAGTGCCTGGCACTGTGGGTATAATCAGCACTGACACCAGATGCTGTGACATAGGTTTACAGGCTCCACCAGCTGCCCAGAGAAGATAAGGTTGACTCAGATCCATGGGGCCACGTAGCCCGTTAGCCCATTTCCAAGCGTGGCCAGCTGCTGAGAGGCAGAGGCAAGGGTAACTCTAGTGCACAGTGATAGACGAACGTGGACACGGCATCTTAGCATTGAAATGTGGGGCTGGAAGGGACCTCGAGAGGTCTCCTGTCAGGAGCAGAGATTCAAAGATCTCCAACCTACAGCTGATTCCCCAAAGCAGAAGGGTTTGCAGCCCTCGACCATGACTCTGGATTATCTGCTCCATAGCAATGTCCAATCGTTTCTTCAATCTTTCTGTGCTCCTGGCCTCAGTGATATCTGTGGGAAGGAGTTCCATGGGTTAGGCTTGTATTGTGGTGGGAGAAGTATTGCCTAGAATCAGCCTTTACTGCTTTACCAACTCCATTTAGGGGTCTGGGGCTCAAAGCAATGTGCCATAGAGGGCTGAAGGATGGCAGAGATTGGTAGTTATCCACAGATTCGGAAATGTGTCCTTCCAGGCTGGCCACCGGCACTCCAGACTGTACAGTTCAGACTGGAGTGGGGGGTAGAAATAGAGGCATAAAATTGGGTTCTGTCTCTTAAGCAAAGTAAGCTGTCATGCGATAAAAGGGAAGGTTCTCTGATGGATTGGTAACTGGTTACAAGACAAGTATCAGAGGGGTAGCCATGTTAGTCTGTTTCCACAAAAACAACGAGGAGTCCGGTGGCACCTTAAAGACTAACAGATTTATTTGGGCATAAGCTTCTGTGAGTAAAAAATCCATTTCTTTGGATGCATGGAGTCTGAAGAACTCCATTCTTGTTGCCCTTTTCTGAACCTTTTCTAATTCCAATAAATCTTTTTTGAGATGGGGCGATCACACCTGCATGCAGTATTTAAGATGTGGGTGTACCATGGATTTGTATAGAGGCAATAGGATATTTTCTGCCTTACTATCTAACCCTTTCCTAATGATTCCCAACATTCTCTTCGGTTTTATAACTGCTGTTGCACTTTGAGTGGATGTTTTCAGAGAACACTGAATTTCATCTGCCATAGTTTGGGCTTTGCCGCGTTGGCCCAGGCAGGAGGGCGACACGCTGAGCCTGGGGAGCTCGCTCCAGCTCTCAGGCCCTGTTCACAGGAAGCTCTGGGCTCTCTCTTGCAGGGCAGAGACACAGCCACGTCTGGCTGCTGGTGGCCTGTCTGGGCGCCGTGACCCTGTCTGTGATAGTGGCTGTGGGGATCCTTCGCCCTCCTGTCCATGGGACTTGTGGACGCTGCTCAGAGAGTCGCTTTGCCAGGACGAGGGATGTGGAGGATCCTTCACCCCAGAGCCAGCCGGGCCCCGGCGCCTGCCCAGCCCTGGGTACACCCACCCCCGGCCTCGGGGCTGATCTCCCAGCGGCTCCCTCGCCTTCACGCCAAGGCTCTGTAGCCGGGAGCCAGGGGTCTCGATGGCCGCACTTCATAGCAAGGACAGCGCAGATCTATGGGCAGCACAGAGCCACTGCACCAGGACTTGCTCTTGTCCCTGACCCTGCGACGGGAGAGATCCCTGCGAGGCGGGGACTGACCCATGTCAATACAACGGGGCTCATACACTACAGCCCCCACCGGGGGGAACCTAACCCCGCTCACGCAGGGCAGCTCTTTGTCTCCCTCTAATCACTGCCCCACATCAGAGCGATTAGTGAGACCCCTGTGGTGCTAGGGACAGAGCCTCAAAGGTATTTATAGAGCCCCAGAGATGTGGGGCTGGGAGGGCAGCCAGTCCAGCCCCCCACACTGAGGCGAGACCAAGTAACCCTAGAGCAGCCCTGACAGGGGTTTGTCCAGCCTGGGCTTAGAAACCTCCAGTGGCAGGGATCCCACGACCTCCGTTAGGCCTGGTCTACACTACAGGGTTAAGTCGAATTTAGCCGCGTTAGGTGGATTTAAAAATGACTGCGTCCACAACCAAGCCCGTTCCGTCGACCTAAAGGGCTCTTAAAATCGACTTCTGTGCTCCTCCTCCCTGGTGAGGGGAGTAGCGCTAAAATCGACCTTGCTGGGTCAAATTTGGAATTGTGCGGACACAAATCGATGGTATTGGCCTCCGGGAGCTATCCCAGAGTGCTCCACTGTGACCACTCTGGACAGCACTTTGAACTCCGATGCACTAGCCAGGTACACAAGAAAAGCCCTGGGAACTTTTGAATTTCATTTCCTGTTGGGTCAGCGTGGTGAGCTCAGCAGCACAGGTGACCATGCAGTCCCAGAATTGCAAACGAGCTCCAGCATGGACCGAAAGGGAGACACTTGGATCTGATCGCTGGATGGGGAGAAGCATCTGTGCAGGCCGAACTCCGATCCAAAAGAAGAAATGAAAATATATTTGCCCAAATCTCCCAGGGCATGTTGGACAGAGGCTACACCAGGGACACACAGCAGTGGCGCATGAAAGTTAAGGAGTTCAGGCAAGCCAACCAAAAGACAAAGGAGGCAAACGGTCGCTCCGGATCAGAGCCCCATACATGCCACTTCTATGAACAGTGCATGCCATTCTGGGGCGGGGAGCCTACCACTATCCCACCACTGTCCGGATTTCCTGCTGTTGATGTCAGTGAAACGTCCCTTGTGATCCACCAGTGCTTGCAGCACTGAGAAGTACCCCTTGCGGTTCATGTACTGGTTGGCAAGGTGGTCCGGTCCCAATAGAGGGATATGCGTTCTGTCTATCACCCCACCACAGTTAGGGAACCCCATTGCAGCAAAGCCATCCCGTATGTCCTGCACATTTCCCAGAGTCACTACCCCGATAACAGAACGTCAATGATTGTATTGGGTACATGGATCCCAGTAGATTTGCCCACTCCAAATTGATTCCCGACTGACTGGTAGCAGTCTGGCGTTGCAAGCTTCCACAGGGCTATCACCACTTGCTTCTCAACTGTCAGGGCAGCTCTTATCTTGGTATTCCTGCGCTTCAGGGTGGGGGAAAGCAACTCACAGAGTTCCAGGAAAGTGACCTTCGGCATGCGAAAGTTTTGCAGCCACTGGGAATCATCCCAGACCTGCAACGCTATGCAGTCCAACCAGTCTGTGCTTGTTGGCCGGGCCCAGAATCGACGTTCCACTGTATCAACCAGCTCCACTGCCACCATGATGTCCCAATTGCCACAGCCCGTGCTTTCAGGAACGTGTGTGTCCATGTCCTCATCAAAATCCTCCTCTTAGCCCGGTTCTGCATATATTCCAGGATAATGCGCGAGGTGTTTACAATGCTCACAACAGCAGCGGTGCCGGTGAGCTGAGCGGGCTCCATGCCTCCCGTGGTATGGTGTCTGCAGGAGAGCAGAGTTGCAGTGGAAGCGATGGCTGACGACAGTTAGCAGCCATACTGCACCGTCTGCTGACAGCAGCACCCAGGACACAACAGCGGCGGTGATAGTGAGCTGGCCTGAGTGGGCTCCATGCTTGCTGTGGTATGGCCTCTGCACGGAAAAAAGGTGCGAAACAATTGTCTGACGTTGTTTTCACGGAGGGAGGGGCGACTGACGACTTGTACCCAAAACCACCCACGACAATGTTTTTGTCCCATCAGGCATTGGGAGCTTAACCCAGAATTCCAATGGGCGGCGGAGACTGCGGGAACTGTGGGATAGCTACCCACAGTGCACTGCTTTGTAAGTTGATGCTAGCCACTGTAGTGAGGACGCACTCCGCCGACTTAATGCGCTTAGTGTGGACATATGCAATCGACTGTATAAAATCGATTTCTAAAAATCAACTTCTATAAAATCGACCTAATTCCGTAGTGTAGATGTACCCTTGGACACCGAGTTCAGACTGAACTCCCCTGGGAGCTAGCAAGTGTTTCCGGATATCTACCCTCACTCTCCCCGGCTGCAGGTTAAGCCCATTGCTGCTTCTCCTGCCTCCTGTGGATATGGAGAACAATTTATCACCGGGGGCAGGAGGGAGACCACAGGGTGTAGGGGATTGTGCGCGGGGGTTCAATTGGGGAGTATAAAGTACTAAGGGTGGGATGGAGAGCACTAGGATGGCAGCTCCCCCACCCCAGGCTTAACAGAAGGACATGACTCCTCCATCACCCCGGAGCTGGCCCCAGAAATTTTCTGTGTGTGTTCGCTTCCAGTTGGCTGGAGCACCCCCAACCCTCATGCATGGGGCGCCAGCAGCCTCCCCCGGTGGCCCAGAGGGCAGATTTGACTATTAATTTATGTTTTAAAATCTCATGATTTCAAAGCCCATCTCATGATTTCCAGGACCTGCCTCGTGGATTTCAGAGGCGCAGAATTGGCTGGGGTTGATGGCAGGACCTCACGGGATTTGGGGACAGTCAGGAAGTTATTGCATATAATGTGCAGCTGTTGGTGTCACTGATTTATTTCTGCTGGGCAGACAGACTGATTTTCTGCAAAAGAAAGACTTTCAAAAATGTGTATTTTTATACTAAATCTATTGGGTGTTCCTTAAAAGAAACAAAGAGAAACATATTTGTAACCTTTCTGCCAGGTGGAGCCAGCAGCAAGGGCCAGGTTCAGTAGCTAGGGGTTCCTTTTCAACAATACGACACCAAACCAGTTTGAGCCCCCACCCAGTGACAATTACATACCACTCCTAGGTGCTCCTAAGAGGCAAAACTTCTCTCACAAGCACAAAGTCTGAATATAGCAAAAACTTTTAATGAAAGGAAGGAACTAACTCAGCATTAATTTGGGAAAACACCACAACTGGGGCTCATAAACACAAAGCAGGAACAAAAAAACCAATCCCTAAGTAAGTTCTTTTATTTATACCCTGAAAAGAGACAAGCATGAATCATGTCAAACCCTCCTCAATAACACTAACTACATCTCTCCACTCATTGGGCTTCAGAACCCATGTGCTCAATGGTTTAGGTTGGATATTAGGAAAAGCTTTTTCACTAAGAGGGTGATGAAGCACTGGAATGGGTTCCCTAGGGAGGTGGTGGAATCTCCTTCCTTAGTGGTTTTTTAGGCACCGCTTGACAAAGCCCTGGCTGGGATGATTTAGTTGGGGATTGGTCCTGCTTTGAGCCTAGATGACCTCCTGCGGTCCCATCCAACCCTGATAGTCTACGATTCATAGAAATAAAAGATTTGCAGTCTAAATTCTACAGACAAAGCACAATTTGAATCAAGCAGTCTGTCTCTCATAGATGTTACAGGCAGCTCACACTTCTCAATCCACAGGCTGGATTCTTTTCCCAGCTTGGGACCAATCTCCCTCGTTCAAAGTCTTTGGATTTGTCTACACTGGCACTTGGTCGGTAAATTTTTTGTCGTTCAAGGGTGTTAAAAAAAAACTCACCCCCATACGACAAAAGTTTTACCGACAAGCGCCTGTGTGAACAGCATCCTCCTGACACAGCCGCTGCCGCTCGTGGGTGGTGGAAGTTTATTGTTGCTAAAAGCCTTGGCCTGTAGCCGTAGCCTTTGTCTTCCAGAGGATCTTCCAGGAGTTGTGATGGGGGAGGAGAGAGGCCAAGTGAGGATGTCACTTTCCCTCTTTTATACTTTCTTCCTGGGACTAGAAAGATCCTTGATATGACGTGGGATCAGGCAGTGTCCTCTGTGTACAGGCCCCCTCTGAGGAGTCTCTGGGAAAGCGGATTCTTCTTGATGGGTCATCAACGCCTGTCTGGCCTGTGAGGGTTGCCCCTTTGTCATTACTGAAAGTCCAGCTGTTGGCGTCTCTCAACCTCACGACATATTTCAGTCACACACACACAGCAAAACTCCGTAACTTCACATACAATGCTAGCACATACAATTCAACTGGGGATGTTAATGCTCAAGAGATCAAGAGTTTTTCAGTTATACCTCACAACACATACTTTGTACAAAACACATCATAAGTAAGGCTGCGAATCATTCATGGAGGTCACGGTTTCCATGACCTCTGTGAATTTTGCAGTGCTGGTGCGGCTGACTCAGGACCACCCCAGCAGCTGGGGAAACCCCGGGGCCAGTCACACCGGCTGCTGGCAGCCCCAGGCAGTCAGTCCCCAGCACTGCCCTAGTGTAGTGGTCAGGGACCACTGCCAGCAGGGGGCACCGAGACGCTTCCCTTCCCTACCCCAGCAGGTAAGATTTAGTCACAGGTTGTGACGTTGTGCAGTCTATATGGTTTTATAAAAATATAAGTGAATGTAATGTAACTGGGATATGCTTCATGCAAAAGGTCTCTTGTAAGGTATCATTACAAAGCTTATAATCTACTGAGTGTGATCATCCTATTTTTGTAGAAATGTACCACTCTTGTATCCAAAACTAGAAATATGAAACATAACTCTGAGGGCCTATTGTAATTATGTAAAGTGTGGGCCATTAAGGATGGTTTGAAATCTTGATGACTCCCATTGTCTGCAGATGACTGTGTTTACCTGTGAGTCTTCCTGTATATGTGTGTGCTGGCAAGTGAGTAATGAAGTCTTGCAGTGACATGTGATCATGTCACCTGAACTGGAATCCATCTTTAACCTGGTGCTTTTCCAGTGAGGGGGGGTGGAAACCCAGAGGGACAAAGGGTTCCCGCCTTATGCAAAAGATATATAAAGGGGTGGAAGAGAACAAGGGAGGAGAGGAGCCATCATGAAGAATCCCCTAGCTATCACCTGAGCTGCAACAAGAGCTGTACCAGGGGAAAGAATTGTGCCCAGGCCTGGAAGGTGTCCAGTCTGAGAAAAACTCACTGAAGCATCTCTGAGGGTGAGATTATCTGTATTTAGTTTGATTAGACATAGATTTGCACATTTTATTTTATTTTGTTTGGTGACTTACTTTGTTCTGTCTGTTATTACTTGGAACTACTTAAATCCTACTGTCTGTATTTAATAAAATCACTTTTTATTTAGTAATTTACTCAGAGTATGTGTTAATACCTGGGGGAGCAAACAACTGTGCATATCTCTCTATCAGTGTTATAGAGGGTGAACAATTTCTGGGTTTGCCCTGCATAAGCTTTATGCAGGGTAAAACGGATTTATTTGGGTTTAGACCCCATTGGGAGTTGGGCATCTGAGTGCTAGAGACAAGCACATGTCTGTGCGCTGTTTTCAGGTAAACTTGCAGCTTTGGGACAAGTGATTCAGACCCTGGGTCTGTGTCTGGAGCCAGACGGGAGTGTCTGGCTCAGCAAGACAGGGTGCTGGAGTCCTGAGCTGGCAGGGAAAACAGGAACAGGGGTAGTCTTGGTACATCTGGTGGCAGCTCCCAAGGGGGTTTCTGTGATCCAAATACCCGTCACACAAGTATTTTTAATTAAAGTCATGGACAGGTCATGGGGCCGTGACTTTTTGTCTATTGCCCATGACCTGTCCATGACCTTTACTAAAAATACCTGTGACTAAAACAGAGGTTATTCTTAATCATAAGAATATCACAGTGGTTAATATGGAGGCTAATTTTACCCAGGGACAATAAACGTACTGTTAAATTAAGCTGCTTTGTACAAAGAAAAACGTCATTGCCCGGGAATCCTGACAAGCAGCCCCGAGCCCGTCCCCTGGAAGATGTCGCCAGGAGGCTGAACCCATCGTGTCCAGCGCACACATGTAGCATTTATAGTCTGCGCGCACAGGGGTGTCTCAGTGCAGCTCATTCTTTGGCGGGGCCAGTGCCCGGGTGTTGCTGGCAGCCAGGACTTGTCTGCAGGGGGCGTTTCAGTGATATCATCTGAGAACCGGTACGATCAGCACCAGGCACAGACCCAGCAAAGGGACCCAGCTGCCGCCCAGCCCTGCAGCAAGAGAGAAAAGCCAGGGGGAACTGGCAATGAGTTACAGCAGGGGTAGTCTATTTTTTGTCAAGGTCCAAATTTCTTGGTCAAGGTCCAGAGAAACATTTTTCACATCACAATAACAATAATGATAAATACATACTTTTTTTTTTTGCTGTCCATTCAACAGCGTCTGGTGGTCCGGGTTTGGCCCATAGTCTGCATATTGACCACCCCTGAGTTACAGGGTGGCCGGCATCAGGGTATGATAGAGCAGTTCACAGCTCTGCCACCAGATGGCAGCAAATGTGTATCCAAACTGGGCCTGATCTACATAGAATGTCTAGGATCAGCCTAGACTGGATCATATGAGAATCCCAGACCCACCGCAACTAGACCCAGGGCAGCTGGTGGTGGGGCTCATTGAAGGAGAAAGTGTTTGACTGTCCCAGCCTGGGGCTGTCCCCCATGGCTCTGCCAGCACCCCTCAATCCCGATCTGTAGCCCCCCTCTATCCCAACTCTGGGCTCCCCACCCTACCCCCACTGGTACACCATAATACTCACATGCAGCATTTCCTGCAATCCCGGTCTGCTCGGGCAGGAAGCGGCCGGTTTGAGTCACTGTAACTTGTCTCGTGTCCGAAGTGATGCCCAACTCTGAGGTGATGTGGCAGCGATAGATGCCCTCATCCTGCATGCGGACACCCCTCAGTGTCAGGGACGCGTTCCCTCGAGCCAGCCCCTCTGGATCCAGCCAGGTCCGGTTCCTATAAGCCTCGTCCTGTCTCGCCAGCTGGTCCTTCCCATAATAATAACTATGAACCACCAGGGCCTCTGTCCCCACCTGCTCCTTCTGCCAGGTGAGGGTCAGGCGCTGGAGGTTCATCCCAGGCTGGGACGGGAAGAGGCAGCTCAGGGTGACGTCCCCCCCGAACCGAGCGGTGATGGGCAACTCGGCTGTGATGAGCCCTGAAAGGGAAACAGAGTCAGGCGTAGAGATGCGGCTGCAGCCCTGACCCACCCTCCAACCCCCACTGCCCAGCGACCCCAGATTCAGTCCCCTTCCCCGAGGGACTCCACAAATCGCAGGTGCAGTTATACACAAGCATCACAATTTAGTTTACAGATGGAAGAATGGAGGCACAAAGGCAGTGAACAGACTAACTCAAAAGTCACCCAGACAATCAGTGGCAAAGGCAGGAAGAGAACCCAGGAGTCCTGACTCCCCCCCAACCACTAGACACCACTCCCCTACCAGAGCCAGGGATACAACCCAGGAGTCCTGACCCCCAGACTCCCCTGCTTCCACCCAGTGGCTCCCAGCCTTGTCTCTGCCCAGGCCCAGCTCGGCGGGAGCTCCAGGGGTCCCCCCGCCCCCGGAGTGCAGCAGGGAAGGGGAGGGGCAGAGGCAATGACCCAGCTCACACAGGAGGGGAGAGAGGGATACTGAGCTCTGATTGGTTGCTCAACTTCTGGTATAGGCGGGGCAGTGAGGCAGACGGCCAATCAGAAGGCAGCTTTCCCCCCCCCCCCCCCGGTACCTTTTTCAGATAATTGGCCGCGGCTCCAGGCGGGATTTAGCCCCCGCGCTGGGGAGAGACCAGCGGCACCTGCCGCCCCCCGCCCCGGCCCCTCCCGCCCCGGCGCACCCGGGTGGGAACCCCACAGGGGGCGGAGCAGGGACCCCGGACCCCGCGGGGGGCGGTACTCACCCCACAGCGCCCCCACGCGGCCAGCAGGGGGCGGGGCAGGGACCCCCGCAGGGGCGGTACTCACCCCACAGCGCCCCCCACACGGCCAGCAGGGGGCGGGGCAGGGACCCCCGCGGGGGCGGTACTCACCCCACAGCGCCCCCCACGCGGCCAGCAGGGGCAGGGGGCGGCCGGAGCCCGGGACCATCGCGCTGCAGCGGGGCGAGAGCAGCTGGAAGAGACAAGGGGGGGGGGGCGTCAGCAGGGGCCGGGCGCAGCGGCTGCTACCGGGGGGCTGGGCTCTGCCACTGCCCCATCGTATCCCCCCCATTGCCGGTCCCCTGCCCGCGCCCCACACGCACCTGCCGGTCTCCGAGAGAGTGTCGGTGCCGGAGCCTGGGATCGGGAGTTTGAATCTACCGCGTAAAATACTATTGGGAAATCTCCAGCCAGCAGCCCCGCCCCTGCCTCCCTAACCGCGGTTGGTTGGGTTGGGCCCCCCCAAGCTCTCCCCGCCCCGTCCCACAGCCGGGCTCCTTGCCTGGAGCGCGGTCCCGACTCCCGGGGTGTTTTCTTTTAAATCTGCGCATCGCAGGTGGGGGGCAGATCCCGGCCTGTCAGCGCTCCCCGGGCAGCAGAGGGTCCTTAACCCAACGGACCAGGCTGAGGGAGATCCGACAGCCACAGCCGGACCAATCCCGACTGCAAACAGGGGGCAAGGAAGGGAATTGACCCTTGGAACAACTGCCCCAGGGACAGGAGGGATCCTGCAGCCCTTGGAGTGGTTCCATGGAGATGGGGTGCTAGCTCTACCCTCAGATGTGGGCTGAAGGCAGGTGTCTGTGAGCTCCCCACCTACCCATCACCCCCTGCCCTCTGGAGCTCAGCAGCAGGTCCCTGCCCCACAAGCCCCCCCAAGCAGGCTGAGTGACACCCAGCAGGTCTGCCTCCCCACCATGCCTAGGAAACAGCTGTACACCCTTGTGCTTCACACTATGCTTCCCTTGCTCTCATGTCCTGCCCCACACCAAAGGGTGGGACCTCCTGTGACCTGCAGAGGGCAGAGAACCCCAGGGGCAGCCTGCACCCCACTCCGGTTCCACAGCCCACCAGGGGTAAGAGCTGCCAGCTCCTCCACAGAGCCCTGAGCACAGGCCTGTACCTGGCGTGGTGCACCAACTCCTCCGACACCAGCTCCTTCTGCAGCAAGGGAGACCCTGGCACACATCTGCGAAGGGCCTGTCAGCCTGCAGCCCCTCCAGCACCTTCTGCCTAGATTCTGGCTGCATTTGCCCCTCCCTCCCAATCCATGCACACCCCATCCCTGGCCACACAAAGTCACAGGACCTCCTTGGCAACCTGCTCCCAGTGCTGGCCACAACGGCCGTACAGCTGGACCAATGGAAGCTGGACATCCCCCACCGACAATCACACCTCCCACTGGTGTCCACGGACTCCTTAGATGAGCAGCTCGTTGTTCCCCTCTCTGGATCCCTGAATTTTAACCTTCCCTCTCATCCCTGGTTTTTCATTAGTTGACCCCAGAACCTCAGTCCAATGGCTCCTCCCCTTGGATTGAGGGGTCCTTTCCGGGGGTGGAGGGGAGAAAGAAGAGAGGGCCTAGGGCACAGCTATTGTGCCACTTTGACAGCACCAATCTAGTGAAAGCTACATTGGCCTCCTCGGGGGGGGGGGAGGCTGCGTCACCCTAGTGCCTTGAGGACACAGAGCAAGACCCGGCTGTGCTCGGTGCTGTACAAACCCAGAACGCTGCTGTAAATGGGGAAAGCGCCCTTGGCCAAACAAGCAGAGAGCAGCGCGTAGAGCAGGGGTTAAACACAGCAGGAGATGGGAATTCACATTTGAGGGGTTGGGGCAGAACAGACAGGCTAGCGCCCAGCCATCAGCATTTGCCAGTGGAGCGACCTAGGCCGGGATCATCACGGTGTCTGAACGAGTTGAGGGTGGAGAAGTAGCCCAGCTGTCTCTGGTTCAGGGTGGGGGCTAACGGTGCTGTGCCACCTGTTGCCATTCATTGCCTCTCTACCGCAGCAAGCTGCCACCAGGAAGCGCTGCAAGAAGCTTGCCAAGCTGAGGCCCAAGCAGCCCAAGTGCCAAACAGCCTCCTGCCAGGACGTCTCTTCCTTTCATCCTCACGGGGACAGGAGAGAGAACGGAGCTGTTTGCTCGGCGCGGAACGCAGGTTTAGAAGGGTGACAGAGGATGGGCCAGTGTCACCCTCTAATTGCACAGTCAGGACTCCTGGGTTCTCTCCCAAGCTGGGGGAGGGGAGTGGGGTCTAGTGGTCAGAGCCAGGGGGCTCCTTAGACTATCCCATTATGGTCCCAACGAAAGAGAGAGACAGATGATGTAGGTTTTATCCCTTTACTTTTATCATCAGAGTTTGCAAGGCCCAGACTCTGCCCCATCACAGGACACCGAACTCTCGAGCGGACAGGACTGAAGATAAAGACAATCAAAGGATCGGCCGGAGACGTCGAACCGAGGGGCTGAGCAGAGCCACTGTGCCCCAGGGCGAGGGGGCACAAGTGGCTGACGCACCAACACCAGCCAATCAGATCTTGCCAGGAAAGGTCCCTTCTGCCAGGCGCTCATCCCAGGCATTGACCTGAAAGAGACAACAAGTTCCACTGATCACCCATTCCGGCGTGACCAGAAGAAAGGAGCTCGGGCTTGGGGCGGGAGGGGACGGCCAGGACTAAGGCTAGCTGGACAATGGCTTCTTGACTTCCCGCTGGCAGAAAACTGGACTTTTCTGCACCTTTTTTGGCTGAAAAGCCAGAATTTTGATTAGTGCCTCACGGAAGCTGTACTTCAGGGGCCTCACGCCCCCATTCTCTATCAGTCAAGCATCCTAGTTGGACTACAACTCCAACGTGCATTGCACGAGAGTCTCCTCACCCCTTACCACAGTGCATCATGGGAAATGTAGTGCAGCCAGGGAACCTAGTTCCTAGAGAGCAGGGGGCCAGGAAGATACAAACTACAATGCCCATGAAACATTGCAGCAGAGGAACCAAATGGAAATATTTTGGTTTTCTGGCATTCGGATTTGATGACAATTTGTGATTTTTCCTGCAAGAAGCAGACACACGTCATGAAAAATTGTTCTGTTGTGAATCTGATTTTCCATCAGAATCACCCAACAGGGATCTGCCAGAGCTAGGACATGTAGATTGATTGCCTAGATGAGAACAAGGCAGCACTTTTTGCTCCAGCCAAGGGGCTACAGGCTGGGGATTCTCCAAAGGGAACTCCCTGTATCCCACAAGCCTTTGGACCTGCAAAGGATTATGGGATCTGGGTCACTGGGCAATTTTTCAGGTGGAGGGGCTGGTGTGACTGAAGATGACAGGGACCCACACAGCTCCTGGGGCTCTAGATCAGAGAGACCCTCACGTTGCAGCTTCCCAGTTACACCAATTGGCTCCTGCATCCATCTCTAGCCGGAATTAACGCAGATGCAGGCCCAATCCCGTCAGGTGCTGAGCACCCTCTGCCCTCCCCCACACGCCTGATAACCCCACTTTCTAGCCAGGAACCTTTCAGCCCCAGTGACCTACCCAAGAGATGGGACAGAGGGACGTGTACACACGGCGGTACCACTGGCAGCACGTGGTGTCGGCTCCCTTGGCTGTCATGGCTTTCTCGCAGCGATGGAAGTCTACGAGAGAGAGAGAAGTTTCAAGGCTAGAAAAACTCCCCCAAGCTGATGCTTCTGGGGGAGCAGTTTCATAGATTCTGAGGCCAGACGGGACCACTGCGACCATCTATCTGACCTCCTGTACAAAACAGGCCATAGAACTTCCCTGAATTCCTCCCCAGAGCAGATCTTTTAGGAAACATCCAATCTTGATTTAAAATGGCCAGTGATGGCGAATCCACCACAACCGTTGGGGAACTGTTCCAGTGGTTATTACTCTGTCAAAAAATGTACACCTCATTTCCAATCTGAAATTGTTTAGCCTCAACTTCCAACCCCTGGCTGGTGTTAGACCTTCATCTTCGAGACTGAAGAGCCCATTATTAAAGATTAACTCCCCACTGCAGGAATATAGGCCCACGTTACATGTGGGTGAACTGTGGTTTTAAATTGAGTTTGGATATTAGCACGAGCAACCAGCCCAAAGCACGTGACCAAAAAGAACGAGATCAGGACTAAGAGGAGTAGTTGTGTGACGCACAGTGACCCATCATGATATCGGCTTAATCTTACTTAAGGTTTGAGCTGAAGTAACAAATAAAACAAGGTTAATTGGATACCAGGGGCATAAATAATTGGCTATTTAACAAACTGCTTCATCCAGCCATAGCTAAGGTCTGATGATTGGCAATGACCTCACAGGTTTGTTAAAGGGTATTAAGGGGTTCTCGGCTAATACTCGCCTGACCAAGTTGGGGGCGACCAATACGGGGCCAGGTCTACACTGCAGACCTATCTTGGCATAACTCCATAGCTCCGGGGTGTGAAAAATCCACGCCCTTGAGCGACTGAGTTATACCGACCTTAACTCCCCTGCGTGTAGACAGTGCTATGTCAAAGGGAAGGCTTCTCCCACTGGCCATCGACACAGCTCGAGGAGGTGGATTAATTACACCCATGGGAGAGCTCTCTGTCATCAGTAGCGGAGTGTCTTCACTTAAACGCTGCAGCTGCAGCATTTTAAGCGTAGACCTGCAGAGTTTAGCATGTTTGTAAGTATCTTGGTCAAATGCTTATCAAGGTTTTGTTACTGTAGTAAACTGCTTATTATCTAGGCATGTTTAGAGTCATTGAATCAATACCATTTGGCCTTTGGATTTAATAGAGGAATTTATGGTTAAATTAGTGTCATGGGAATACCCTGTATAACAACTCCAACTCCCACACAGGTACTTACAGACTGGGATCAAACCACCCCTTAACCTTCTCCTGACGCTAAACAGATGGAGCTCCTGGAGTCTCTCGCTATAAGGCAGCTTTTCTAACCCTTTAATCTTTCTCTTGGCTCTTCTCTGAATCTTGCCAATTTATCAGCATCCTTCCTGAACTGTGGACACAGGACTCCAGCCGTGGTCGCACCAGTCCCGATTCAAAGGGAAAAACAACCTCCCTGCTCCTACTCAAGATTCCCCTGTTTACGCATCCCAGGATCGCATTAGCCTTTTTGGCTGCAGTGTCGCACTGGGAGCCCACATTGGGCCAATTGCACACCACGACCCCAGATCTGTTGCTGAGTCAACGCTTCCCAGGAGAGAGTTCCCCAAATGAAAGGCTGAGGGATTAAGACACCCGTGGCTGATAGCATCGGTGTAGCTTCCTCAAGGTGCTGAACACTGGAAATCAGTGGAAATTGACAGCCAACTGCTAGCCCTTATTCTGTACGTGCTCAAGGACACAGCTTGCATCTCCCCAGCTCTAACGCACCTTAGATTAAGAGCTTGGTGCTAATCTGGCCCCCATTACTGTCATATCTGAGCATATGGAAAAATTTTCCATAGATCAGTTTTCCATTGGAAAATGCAGTTTCACCAGAATCGCAGATTTTGCAGGAACATGTTGATTTCAAGAATTTTCAAGGGGAGAGTCAAAATGAGTCTTTTCATCAAGGTCAAAATGTTTTTTGAGACTATCATTTAAATTTGTACATTATGTTAACTTTTTATAGGATATGAAAAGACAAAACAAAACACTGTGATGGTTCTGGACCAAGTTCTGAGGGAATTTTCGTTCCACGGAGAATTTTGAAAGTTCAGCTTTTTGTTCTGATTTGGTACCAAAATGTTCAGAATTTCCCACTGGATGGAAAACCGGCTCTGCTTTAATGGATTTAGCCTCACCACACTCCTGTGAAGCAGGGCAGTGCTATTACTCCATTGTACAGATGGGGAAAGTGAGGTACAGTAAGGCTAAACAGTTTATCTGACATCACACATGGAGCAAAGCAGGGAATTTAATCCCAGGTCTCTGCAGTTCCAGGCTAGCAGTGCCCTAATCACTTGGCCATCCTCTCTCTCTCTCATTACCAAGAGACAATATGCTACCAAAGCCTTGAAGAGGAGATATTTTTAAGCTGAATATTGTTTAGGCCTTATTAAATGAAAGCTAAAAAAACCCAGAGCTAGATCTCTCCTTGCAGTGCTGGAAGCCAGACACATCGGGGATATGGTTAAACAAACACAGACACCATAAGCAGGGGGGGAATCTTTGAAGATTCTCTCTGTCCTTCATACAGCAGCATAATTCCAGTTCTCCATCTTTTACAGATGATGTTTGAACGAAAGCTGCTGCAGTTTTACTCAGACGCATCGTGTTGAGCTACTCGCAGGAGTAACAGGCTGAGACATGGAGTAACTCAAGAGCCTGGGAAAAATGAGGTTCAGGATTCAGGGAAGCCTGTTTGGGCCAACTGAATTGGCCATTATGAAGCAGCAATTCAGGACGGATTGCTTAGGACTAGAAGGCACCGTCCTCGAGTTCAGGCAACTCCATCATAGCATCTAGCGAGGGCTTGTTACATTAGATTAATAAACAAACTTCCCCCATCGCCTTTAGATTGATCTTTGTGGCAGGACTTCTGTACTGTGCGCTGTACAACATCTAACAAATCGATCGTCTCACTGGTACCTCAAGCTTGGGATGTACCAAAGCTTTCTATTTCCTGGTTTTCAGAGGGTTAAGTTTAGCCCCTCCCTACATTCTGGAGGGCATGAGGCAGCACCAGCTGCCTTAATCTCTGCATTAACTATATCTGGAGGCCGTTGACATGCACTTAATGGAAAGCGAAGCAAATTGGTAGTGGGCTCAAAACAGGGGTGTTCAGGTCAAATTCTCTAGCCTGGATTATACGGAGGTCAGACTAGATGATTTAATGGGCCTTCTGGCCTTTAAATCTGTTCATCTCATCCAGGGGACTTCAAAGGATCTACACACTATGTGTAGCACCCTGCAAATCTGTGGATATCCACTTTATATCCACGGACCATGTTTGTGGATTAGATGCAGATACATATTTTGTATCCATGCAGGGCTCTAATCATGTGCAAAGTTATGCAGGTCCTTAAGTCTTCGCGGATCAGGGCTTCAGGTTATAAACTCTTCAAGACAAGGACTGTCTTTTCATGGCATGTGTACCGAGCACCCAGCACACTGGGACCCCCATGGATCGAGGCCGTTAGATGCTACCCTTAGCGGTGCATAAATTTAAGAGTTAGTTACAGGAGGGGAAAGCAAATGTGTTTCATCATTACCTGGATATTTTTAACTATCAATTTATGGACTGTGGGCAATCTAAACAATAGACAAGAAGCGAAACTGCCTAGGCCTGTGTCACCAGCCAAAGTGAACAAGCTGCATCAGAGTTCAGATCCTTTGGTTGCTAACAGCCCATCTCACCGAGGTAGTTCTGCCAGCAGTTGCGAGTCTGGTTCTGATTCGGGAACCTGCTGTCGAAGGGGGCGGTTTTGTAGTTGTCCAGCTTGGCCTGGATGCTGTCAGCCATTTTTCTTGTTCTATGGAGGGGGGGGAAAAATCATGTCATTTGTATTGTGGCAGCGGCTAAAGATCCCAAACAGGGCTCTATTGTGCTGGTCACTGCACAGACACAGAGCGAGGAACAGACCCTCTCCCGGCTGAGATCGGGGTCTTGTCATGCCAGGCGCTGCATAGACACAGAGTCAGCCTCTACCTCAAGGAGCTAACAATTTAATCCCAGCAAGGCCTCTGCGCTTTGAGCAGTGGGGGCTCCCCAGGAACCGTCACAGCGCTCTGAGCACGGGCTTCACACCCCTTTGCTCTGGGATCTGGTCCCCCATATTTAGACTTGTAGCTGCCTCCCACGGACAGGAATGTAGCAAGTGAAGCCCCCTTCGAGCTACCAATGCGACCGGTTTGCAACACCCCCACGTCAATGAATCCAGACTCACAGGGCCAGCTCCAAGGAAAGAAAACCTTTGCAGCCTTCCCCCACTGAGGGGAAACCGGGGTGAGCTCTGGGGCTTCCCACCGCCCTGGTCACATTCCGCAAGAGCCAGAGCCCCGATCTCACCCCATCCGCCCCTTGGGGATGAACCCCCCCCCCCCCGGGCCGCCCCGCCCCGCCCAAGCCGGTTTCGGGGGGGGGAGGGGTTAAACCCCGGCG